TCTATGAGCAAGTATGTGGTCTATTTTGGAGAATGACCTGTGTACAGCTGAAAAGAATGTGTATTCTGATTTTGTGGGGTAGAACACTCTGTAAACTTCTGTTAAGTTCCTTTGGTCAAGAGTTTGACTGAGCTCTAGTATTTCGTCGCTTATTTTTTGTCTAGTTGATCTATCTATTTGTGACAGTGGTGTATTGAGGTCCCCCACTACTAATGTATTAGTGCTTGGCAATAAGTTATTTTTAACTGTTATTCAAAAATGTAAAAAGAATGATTGGCCTTTGGAGAGTGATTTTAGATCCTCTATCGAAATAGTTAATGTGAATACCAGCTAGTCCAGTATTTTATACTTCTATGAATTCATCCTATCCTAAAGAAATGTTTGTAAAATTATCTTAAAGTTTTTAAGCACAGAAATATTTGCTGAAGAGTTTGAAATAAAAATAACTGGAAACAATCTAAATGTCCATTAATATTGGATTAATAAATTATGATAAAAACAAATAATGAAATATTCTGTACCTATTAAAAAGTACAAGGTAGATCCAAATGTATGGATGTGAAAAGTTTTCCATGATATATCACAAAATCTAAAGTTAGCAACTATAAAACAGTATTTATGGAGTATTTCTTTCTCTTAAAATAGAGACGTCTAGATATGTTTGTGCATATGCAGAAACAGGTCTGGGGAGGATATAGTCAAAAATGTTTTCAGTCTTTAATTCTAGGAGGGGTTGGTGTGAATATGAGAGCTATCTGCTGTCTCAATTTCTGTTAGGATTATCTATTACTTTTGTGATTAAAAATAAATATTTCTAAAATAAAACAAATTAATATGGGTCATTTACTATTACATTTTCTATAACTTTTGAGAAGTATTGTGGGAACAAAGAATAAACTGTTAAACTACAGAAAAGAAATTAAAAATTTTCTCAGGACCAATCTATAGCCATTAAAAGGAATCAATCTACTTTCCCCCCTTTGTAGTTATCCCTATTTATATAAGTAATAATTTAATAAAAGAGATTATATTCCTAGATCATAGTACCTTTTTCAGGGCTGTTTTTTCCTGAATTTGATTCTTTCTCATTTGTAGCCTTGGAAACTAGAAAGAAAGAGGGCAATTGTACATTGTAAAATATTTAACAAATATCTTTTAAAAGCAAAAAAAAATGGAAATGATGTCTGTGTAAATAGGGAAGGGTGGAGGGGGTGAAGGGCTCACAAGTAATGGGGAAAAAAGAACTAAGATACATCATGTACAGGTACAAACACCCAATGATAAATGTAAATGTAATGTATACCTAAAATGTACCAATAAAAGAACTCAGAAAAAAAAAAAGCAAAAATATTTCATGTGGCATAAAAGTACATGTTACTTTGATTCGGTAAGCCAATTTCACCCAACCTGACCTCCTGTCATTGTAAGGCAATATATTAGAAAAGTTTCATAATAAAAAGAACACTGGAGAAATATTCATATTTTTAAAAAATCCTAGAAGGAAGCACACTAAATATTAACTATTTATTTCTCGGTGGTATTTCATTCTTTTTTTGGCTTTCTTCAAATTAAATTGTACTACTTTTGTTATCAGGAAAAACACACACACACACATACAGGAAGTCAGAAGAATGAGTTACAATTCCTGAGTGTGGCAATAACTCACTGTGAAACCTTGTACAAACCCCTCCTCTGTGGGCCTTAGTGCCCTTAACTATAAAATGAAGGGATCTGACTAGATGATTTGTAAGGTCTCTTTAAACTCAGTGTTCAAACACTTGCATGTTGCTGGGCATGGTGGCGCACGCCTGTAATTACAACACTGGGGAGGCTAAAGCAGGAGGATCGCCATGAGTTTGAGCCCAGCTTGTACTATGTAGTAAGTTCAAGGCCAGCCTAAACTACATAGCAAGACCGTGTCTTAACCACCACCCCCAAAAACAACAAAAAAGCCAAAAAACAAAAAACACTTTAGCATGTTAAACCACAAGCATACATTAATCAGAACTCATCCCTCTGTTAAGACATTGCATATTTATGAAAATAAAGCAAAGGACAATCAAATGAGCTCATATCACTTCCAAATAATGCCTAGGAGACAGACTCATTGCTGTATTTTACACTTTTAGTGTCTTATAGTAGATAATCTACTGTTTGAATAATAGCTATGACATTTAATCACCATTCTATTGTCTTCATTGTACTTTACCAAGGCATAAAAATGGTCTGATACAGTTTAGAAGTTTCTTTAACATATTTAGAAACAAAATATAATTTTCTTGTAATTCTCCAATAAATAAGAAATTTCATAAATCTAAGTCTCTAATCAGTAATTAGTAATTTGGTAATTAGTCAAATATTTATGAACTGTGCTAGGTGTTATGGTAGTACAAAAGAAGTAAAAGGTATAATGAACCCCAAATTTACTAATGGTAGCTGAGTAAACCTCATCTAAGCCAGGAAGATCTCTACAAGTAACTAATGATCAACACAGTTAAACTAGTTAGACACAGTGCTGTGCACTTATAGTTCTAGATACCTGGGTGGCTGATGACGTAGGAGGATCACTAAAGACTAAAAATTTGAGGCCATCTCAGAGAACTTAGCAAGGCCCTGTCTCAAAAAAGTTAAGCTTTTAAACAAATATTTACCGTGGAGCTGACTGAAATAAAGCAATTCTTCCATGGAAAGTTCATCTCCTTTTGAAGAGTCCTTAGATTTCACTTCAGTATAAGCTGAAAACATATAAACCAAATCACACTTGCTAACAATGAGGGCAAGAGATGGGGGTCTGTAATGGTCAAATAAATTTGGGAGTAGGAATTTAAAAAAAGAGTTTTGTAACAAAAATGTAAGTGAAGAAATATAAAAGGGATATCACTCTATTGTATAGCAAAAAAAAAGAGTACCTGATCACCTTGAGTCCTAGTATTTTTTCTACTTGCTTTTTTAATAGTTTTCTGAGAGCCATTACAAGTTGTAATAAGAAAATTTGGCATCTGGAAATCTAAACATACAACCTTAGCCATTTAAAAAACTTGAAGGAGAACATAAAGTGAATGCTTTGTTTTACTTTCTACCTGTGATTTAATAAGTATAGAATGTTTTTCCTATTTTTGATCCCTCTATAAACAGTGTACTCAATGAACATTATAATGGCAACCTAACTTGACAATGTAAACTCTCTTTATAATTAAATTATTAGGTGTTTTGTCTTTTGTTTTTAATATTTTGTCTGTGATTTGAGTGTATGAAGGGGTAAAGATGCCTGTTGGCCTGGTAAACAATGTTTCCTGGCTAACCCAAAAGATTTTAAAAGGGATCTCAGGTATAGCTTTAGAGAATTATGAGGTGCTATTTGTTTTTATGAATAACTTCAATTAAGCTACTTTTTGCAATATTCTTTCATTTTAAAGCCTAAGACTATTTTCTCAAAGTAGGGATGCCTGGGAATGGCAGCCTTTTTCGGTCAATGGGGAAAAACGTACATAAACTGAAATAGTATGAGAACTCTGAGGCAGTATGGTAGAATAGAAAGAAAAATGAACCTTGGAGTCAGATAGACTTCAGTTTGAATCCCAGCTAGGCAATTTATGAGCTATGTGATCATCAGCAAATAATCTAGTCTTTCTGATCCCTAGTTTCCTTGCTATTAAAATTGGAAGGATAATATTACCTTTCAAGGATATGGTAAGGGTTAAAAGAATACAAGTCTTGATGAACAAGTGCTCAATTAATGTTACCTTTTATTTTGCTTCCTTTTCTAAATATTTAATATTCCTACCTTTTTTTCTGCTTCTATTTTCTTTCCTTTGTTTTACAGTCTTAGGAATTGAACCCAGGGCCTTGCACCTTACTAGGAAAGGAGCTCTACCATGAAGCTACATCACCAGCCCTTCATGGTCCCATTTTTCTGAATAATGATAGTGCTTTACAAGTTTGGCAGTTTAAAGTTAATCTCTAGTCTAATAACAATAGTGACTACAAAAATTCAACCTTATATCAACACTTAAATAATATGTAATTCTTATATACAAACTATCAATAAAATGATTGATCACTAACAGAAAGCTTGTAGACCCCTCCATTACACAGAATCTCTTCTATTGATTTCACCAATCACTATACATAAGTAAACATAGTGATAATATGAATTGCCACTACCACAAAGAAACAATAACCTTATATCATATTGATAATTATATTATTTGATAAAATGGAATTGTAATTATACTTATTAAAATGAAACCAACTGCTGTACATTATTAAAGAGTGTTAAACACTTACCCGGAGGAATATGCAGCTTAAAAAGCAGTTTAAGCTTCTCAGTAAAACTTCCATTATACATTATGTCTGTTCAATAAAATTCAGTTGAAAATAATCATGCATTCAAAGAACATTCAATCAACTTCAGCAACACAGATTAAGATACAGATACTAACCAGGAACTAGGATTCAGAAACTTTGTTATCTGTTACTTAAGCTAACAGTTAAACAACCACCCATCAGCCAGATTCTCTCCTTCAAATGTATAAGCAAAATACTCTATGAAAGGAATAAAATGCTCTTATGACTATCTAGCTGCTTTCCCTCAACCTCAGATTTCTTTTTGCTTTTGAATGAGGCGTTATATCTCATTTGAGGGAAGAACTGCTCTTTAAAGGCCAATCTATGATAAGAAAGCATTACTGGGGAGTCTGGAAAAACAAAAGAATAACATTTACAGGTATAACATACTGACTAGTGAATGTTTTTTTTTTCTTTTTTGTTTTTTGAGACAGGGTCTCACCACATATTTCAGGCTGGCCTTGAACTCACTATATCTCAAACTCTCAGTCTCCTGAGTGCTGGAATTACAGGCATAAGCCACTACACCTGGCTCATAATGGTACAACATGTTTTCTGAGGACTTTTCTAGGATATGTGGTTAGATTTTTAATGAAGGGGAAAGTCTGTCTGTAGCATCCATGTATTTAAGTGCAGAAAGCCGGACTATTTTCTTCCTTCATGTTAACCATTAGAATATCCACATGTAACAGCTTGATTTTCTGAGATGGTTGGGGCAAAGTGAAATCAATATACCTAGATTTAGTAACAAACACAGAAAAAAACCCGTGTAATTACTAAAGCTAGAGACAATGTGACCCAGGGTAATATAATCTGACTAAACTGATATTAGTACTAAATACTTTTAGGGATGTGTTTATTTTTTGTTTAAAAAAGTTATCGGATATTGGCCTACCAATTGCAGAAGAGAATTCTTTGAAGTTTATAAGGCAATCAGAATTTTCATCCAACAATCTGAATGTCCATAAAGCTAGTGAGTCTTTGTTTGCAGAATGAGCCCAGGGACTCAACAAGTGATACAACATTCTGAACTGCTGGCAGTCAATCTGATACTGTTCCAAATATGGCAGGCTGGGGTCATGGTGCTTTAGTACTGGACAACTCAAACACCAATAACAAGATAAAAACAGCTCTTTCTATTAAAAACAAATACAAAGGAGAAGTTATTAAATCACAAAAAGTGATTGCAGAAGATTTTCTTCTTTTAAAAATGTCTGGCAAAAAATAAATATTTAAGAGTACTTCTGATAAAATTCTGCTAAAAGCGCATTATTTTTCATTTACAAAGAACAGTAGTACCTTAAAGATCACATAAAGCTCATCTAATTCATGAAGTTTCAATTTCACATCTTGTGATACAACACGCAGCTGAAAAAAGATTAAAAACAATTTAGAATTTAATATTCCAGCACAGAAATGAATCCATTTAAGAGTCTCCCTTTCTTTTGACTTTCTGAAAAATAATAGATAAAACACATACTTTATATTTCTAAGAAGTTGTACATAGAATATAGTTCAAGTCTCATTTGATATGTACTTTGAAAGTACCTGGAAATCACTGCCGAAGGACAGAAATGTTTATAAATACAAGCAACAGTATTCTAAGTCTCATTCCATATATTCCTTTCTTGCCACATAAGCAATTTGTCAAGTCATCAAGGGAGCTGTCATCAAACACTTCAAAGGCATCAGATGTGCACTTGCTTCCATGCCAAAAAATGATAAACTTAAAAAATATGTAATTTTATCTTACTCTATAAAGAATAAGCATTGATGGTAAAAGCATTATACCATGTAAGAAATCTAAAAGCAACGGTAAAGATAAAAACTAAGATTTAAAACAGAACATTAAAAAAATACAGAACACTCAAATAAGATGGAGAGTTAAATGGAAAAAACAGACAAATCTCAGGCAAGTGTGATAAAAGAAATGACAAATAAACACTGATAAGAAAAAGATTATAAAAGAATGGATATGGAGTTCATTAAAAGTACCCAGCATATAGAAGGTATAAACTCATTAAGATTTATATCAATTTATCTGAAAACCTAGAGAAAATAGATAATCTAGGAAAATATATATAAGCAAAATTAATTCAGAGGAACAAGAAAACATAATTAGATGGAACTGAAAATACCTGCCTCCCACCCAAAGGCAGTAGCTAGAATATATGAAGAACTCAAAAAAATTGGATCCCTCCCAAATAAAAGACCCAATAAAAAAATGGGCAACTGAAATGAACAGACACTCCCTAGATGAAATACAAATAGTGAATAAATACATGAAAAAATGTTTAATGTCCCTGGCCATTAGAGGAACACAAATTAAAACAACACTGAGGTTCCATCTCACTCCAGAAAGAATGGCCATCATTAAGAAATCAAATAATAACAAATGCTAGAGAGGCTGTGGGGGTTGGGGGGGCTTCTACATTGCTGCTGGGAATGTAAACTAGTATAACCACTATGGAAATCTGTATGGAGATTCTTCAAAAAACTAAAAATAGAAATTTCATTTGACCCAGCTATTACGGCTTGTGTCTAGATATCCCTCGTTGCTGAGACAAATTACCGAACACTCAAAGTTAAAGGAGGAAAAGTTTATTTAGCTCACAGTTTGTAGAGGTTTCAATCCATACTTGGCTGGCTCCAAGGCAGGGTGGTTTGGTAGATAGGCAGTTCATGGCGGGCAGAAGACAGCAAAAGCAACAAGGGACCTTAACAGTGTTTTTCTGCCTTTTATCTTACCCAGAAAACTTAGGGCAGGCAGCACTCACACTGTTAATCCTAGTGCCCTTGAGCCTTGCATTGCACCATGAATCAATTTTAGCCTCATGAAATCTAGATCCAGCCACTTCTGAAAAAGTGCCACCTATGACCACATGAGGCTTTGGGGGGACACCTAAACACAAGCCCTAAAACCTCCCAGAGCCTCATGCAGTTATAGGTGGGGCTTTTCAGAGGTGGTTGGACCTAGAATGTGTGATGCTGGAATGTGTGTGTGATTATTAAATTAGCCTACTGATTGGTTTGGCATAGTTCTGAGTATAGATAGTGGGAAGGCCCACCCTGGGTGTGAGTACTACCCGCCCTAAGGGTGTGTAGCCTAGATAAAATATAAGGGACAGAAACAGGCCTGCTCTTATGGCTTGCTACTTCACTTGCTGCTTGGTGCCTTCTGCTTGCCCTGCTTTGCCATGGACTGTTTCTCCTCTACGATGCCCCTCTGCCATGCCATCCAGCCTTGGAACCAGCTGACCATGGACTGAAATCTCTACAAACTGTGGGCTACAATAAACCTTTTCTCCTTTAACTTTGGGTGCCAGGTATTTTGGCTCAGCAATGAGAAAAGTAACTAAGGCACCACCTTCTCCCCTTCTACAGTGATACATGCATACCCATGTTTATAGCAGTACAACTCACTTATTCTTTGAAGTGGCCTATATGTCCATCAACAGATAAATGGATAAAGAAAATGTGGCATTTATACATAATGGAGTACTCCTCTACCATAAAGAAGGATAAACTTTGAGTCATTTGTAGGAAAATGAATATAGCTTGAGACCATAATGTTGTGAAATAAATTAGACACATAAGCTTAAACATCAATGGTTTCTCTTATGAGAAACTAAAATTATAAATAAAGAGCAAAATAAAAGATAGATAATAAGGATAGATAATAGGGAGATAGATCTTTTGCTTAAGGGAAGGAGACCAAGGGATAGATGGAACGGGGAAGGAGGGTGGGATAAAAAAAGAATTAAGATGTGTTATGTACATGTACCAACTCCCCATGAGGAACATAATCATTATGTACTACAAACATGTATCAACAACAATAAAAAATTATAAAAAGAAAATGAAAGAATTAACAAGACTAGGGGGCTATAATAGGCCACAAATATAACAGGTAAAACATTAATAACATTAATATTCAAAGAGCTCTTTCAAATCAAAGAGAAAAGACAATCTCATAGAAAAATGAGCAAAGGCTAAAAAAACAGGCAATTAAGAAAAATCTGAAAAAGCCTAATAAACATGTATTAATTAGCAAAATGCAACATGAAGTGACATTTGAATTTTTCTAAACTATCAAATTGGCACAAATTAAAGATGTTTAATGTCTGGTGTTAAGAGCATGAAAAAAAGGGCATTCTTATACATTGTTGCTGGAATTATAATTTGGTGCAGATCTTTTGGAGGATAATTTGGTAGGACCTGTTAAGTTTTAGATGGGCATACCCTTTTACATAGCTTCCATTTGCAGGAATCTTATCTTACAGAAATACTTTCACAAAGAATAGATACAAGGGGTGATCTAAAAATTTGGTGGACGTTTGAACTTTAAAAATTATTATGTAAAAGACATATTATTGTTAGTTCTCACAATATTCTTTCTTGCTTAATTGTTTTCTTTTTTTTTTTGGTACCTGGGATCAAACTCGGGTCCTTGCACTTGCGAGGCAGGCGGCAGAACCACTGAGCTAAATCCCCGGCCCTTTCTTGCTTAAAATACACTTATCCCATTGATCTTGCCACTGTCTGAAGCAGTTTGGGAAGTCCTCTTTTGTGTCTTTATGATGTGTGATCAAAACTACAGTGAATGCTGCTGCCAAGTGTCATCCAACGGAAAGCAGGCTGGTAACAACATTATGGTGTGTGCTCATCCACTGGATCTGGCACCATACTCTGTGACTTCTGGTCCTTCTCAAAATCAAAATGACCACAAAAGGTAAATGTTTTGAGTTGATGTAGGATATCAAGGGAGCTGCAACAGCATAACCGAAGACATAAAAAAGTACTTTCGGAACTGCATCAGAAAGTAACAAGAATAATGGGGTAAGTGTGTTGATGGCAATGTGTCTTTTGCTATAATAAATTTAAAAAAATTTAAACACCATAATTTTGATGACATCTTCTATGTATACAAAGATGCTTATATAAAGTATTATTTTTAAGAGCAAATAAATGGATGGAGACATATTAAGTGTACACCAACAGGGAATCACAAATTATAGCACAACTGTGCTATGGGGTACTATTTAGTGCATTAAGCAGAGAGTTATGTTTATATATAATGATATGCAATGACCAGGATAATTTTTGAGTAAAAACTGTTTTAGAACAAAATGACTGGTATGATGCCATTTAAGAAACGATACCCCCTCCCCACTAATATACACATTTATGTTTCCAGGTACAGAAAAGAAAAAGATATGGAATGACATGTATCAAATCATTTTAAAATGGTTACTCTTTGGAGTGGGGAACCTTTACTTTTTACATTTCTGTAATGCTTGAATTATTTACAACAAGCATGTATAACTTCAGTAAATATCAAAAAACATTAATATATAAAAACTAAAAAATCTAAAACAAGGGGGCTCTACATTAACCATGTCATAATCATTGAATTATTTAATTGAAATCTAAACCTGGAACTTTCAGAAATGTTAATCTTCCTAGATTTGCATCTCTGAGGAACTTGTCTTTAAGCAAGTACGTTTATAAAACAACACAAGCTCAATATAAACATCAAGGTAAAATTCTCCCTCTTCTGACCTGTTATCTATTCATCCTACTGGCCAGAGGAAACCAGTATTAGCAGCTTCTTATGGCGTTATAAAAATATTAAAAAGGTGAGTAGTGTTTTATACCCTTTTATATCCTATTCACGTTACTCTATGTACTCAAAGAAAATAATATTAGTACCATTGACTACTATGCAAATCATCTGTTCTTACTAATAGCACACCACAAACATGCTAAGCCTATATGGCTACATCATAATATTTAGCACTCTACAGTGGTACTGAAGGCCAAATAATAGAAAATATGTTGAAGAAGGCCACATAATTCAGCCAGAAGAAAATGACTTGTTTTTTCTAAAAAAAATTTACTATAAACTAAACCTTGACAAGAATCTAGCTCAAAAGTTTAGTCCTTTTCATTTTATTTACATGTAAAAATAATTATTAAAGGAAGTTAAAGGGAAAAAAAAACTGTTACTCCAACCGTTTTCCCCCATTAAGTGGACACTCACCACATTCTGCTTTGTTGTTTCCTCCAGGGTCTGTATCACATACAACCTATTTTGACAGCGCATGCTATATATATCTTCATAGCGAATATTACCATATTTCTGCAAGACATGATTTTCAGTGGGTGAAATAAATATCCACTTTTCCATTTAGAATTGAATCAAATTTCATTAGACTCAGTTGTCTAGGGCCTTGGTTCTATTTCTAGCTACTTTCCTGACTTGTTTGGATATTTTGCAAATTTTCACCTCCCACATTTCAGTTTTCATACATATTTACTGGAGAGAATTCCATCTACTATGTGTCTAAACCAAGAACAAGAACATGGATAAAATTCATCTCTAAGAACAGAATAATTTTCAACTTTTTATACAGTCATATATATTTAGAAGTATTCATCATTTATGAAAGTAAGCAAATTTAGTTTAGTTTCATTTAATGTAAAGCAAATTGAGGCATGGGGGTTATATGCCCTAGGACAAGTTCACAGAACTCATTTTTAAAGTGAGGTTAGATTTTAAATTGTATCTTTGCTTGCATTATTATATTACTCTTAATAAAGCACTACAAACATAACTACAGTACCAATCTTTTAAAATGTGCTATGTAATTACATTTATGGTATAAAAGGACTTACCTCATTAGACTCTCTGATCAAATCTGTAATATCCACTTTAATATGACTGCTTTTTTCATCACTCTCATTTGAACCCTGCCGAACACTTGAAGGCAATGGGCTATCCTTATTCGTGACATTGTCAAAGAACCTATCCAAAAGTGATAGTAATACAAGAATTAGTGGAATTAAAGTTGTTAAAGCAGAGAAAATGACAGCTAATGTCTCCCTTGTTTGTTAATAGGTTAATTTCAACTGAGAAGACAAGGGAAGGACTTACGAAGAACTGGAATTTGAAAATGGTTGTGGATTAGGAAGGCATTGTGGGGGGAATAGAGACAAAGTCATTTTGGGATTGGGGAGGAGAGCATGAAGGAAGCAAATAGGCTCATTGCGTACTCAGCAAACACAACATAGCCTATTAAGAACAGAATACAGGGTATGTAAGGAGATGCAAGGGGAAATAAGTGAAGAAAGGTACATTGAGGCCTTATCACAAAGTTGTGAATACCAGAGTGAGGCATTTTCATATTATTCTGTATAGAATGGGATTAGATGCAGCATTACAACAGCTGTCAATTCAAATACTCATTCATTGAACACATACAAATGTGTGCTTATATATGCACACAAACAACTATGCTTGTGCTCCAATACAAAATAGCACTCATAAATATCCACTGGGAAAATGAAGTTCAACTTACCTTACTGAAAACACATGGAAATTAACACAATTTTCCCCACTGGATATTTAAAATTATCAACTAGCCCCTTCCCCTTCAAATTACTTTCATATTATAATTGGGACTATGAAAGTCCCAGCATATAGAATCAATAACAATAGCATAAATGTGTAAATAACCTAATTATTCACTTCAAAATGATTTACATTTTTTTTTTGGTACTGGAGATTGAACTCAAGACCTTGTGCTTTGTGAGGCACTGGCCCAATGATTTACTTTTTTTTTTTTACACCCTTTTTGAAGACAAAGGACTGGACTTTAGGCCTGGATTTTTCATTTAACTAAAGCTGTGACTTTGAGCAAATTATTTGACATTGCTAGGGCTCAGTTTCCTCAAAAGTAAAATAAGAGAATTTAACAATATAATCTCTCAGATCCCCTCAAAATTTAAATGATATAATTCTTACAATACCTGTTTAAAGCTGTCACAGCTTCAGCATCATCTTTACATGTCAGCAGCTTGTCTAAATTATAGTCAAGTATTGCCAATCCCAGTTGTAAAATAGCCTTTATTCCATCATAGAAGAAACAGTCCACCACATTCACTGCACTTTCAATAGGCAACACACTAATAAAAAGTGTGAGGAACCATGAGAGAGAAACTGAGGAAAAGAATGTCATATCTGTCATGTGTTCTGTCAGCTGAGGAAGGTGATCCCTGATAAGTTCTTCAAAGACTGCCTGATCCACCAAGGCACCTAGAGAATATCAAAAGAAGTTTAAAAACATATATCTTTCCAAAAGATTTGTTTCTGATATCCCCTTACTTCTATTAGCTTGCTGATACATCTCATCTTTCTTCTTTAAATTATGAACTCCTTCAAGTGCCTTTAGATCATGCATCTAAAAACATTTAGGAAATGCAATTCAAATTCATCTGAAGAGTTATTTATTGAGTCCTTAGTATAGGCAGAGAGCTGTACTAGGGACTATAATTAATGGTCTCACCTTCCAAGAGTTTAATATGTATTAGAACTAGAGATAAACACACAAATAACTGTAACAAAAGACAATAAAATCAGTGGCTTAACTAGAATATTGAAAGCTTATGAAGGCACAAAGGAGAAATGATCCGTAAATCTTAAGATAGGGGATCACAGATCTCCAAATATTTGATGACTGAAGAAAATATCATACAATTAACAAAGTAAGAACCTGGTCCTTTTGAATCCTGAAAATATCTAAATAAGTCATATAAATTACAATCCCCTTCTGATGAAGAAACTATTAAAAATTCTTCAGGAGCTCTGGATGTATCAGATCACCATTATTTTAGCAACACAATGATTATACACTTGAAATTTTCCATTTAATTAAGAAACAAACAGGGTATTTTATTTCAAACAACAACATACTAAAACAATCTTTCCAACTATATATTAAATACAGAAAGCTCTTTTCTTAAATGTACCAGTGAATGTGACATTTTGATATTGCTTGAATTTTTTGCACTTCTCAACCTAATTCATCTATTCTATTTTTGAATAGATAAGTCACTGGAATTGTTTAGATAAGTATGTGTCTGCAATGGTTTGACTGGGTCCCCCAAATATCATGTGTTGGAAACTTAATCCCCAAATTCATCTGTTAATGGTATTTGGAGATGAAACTTGTAGGGGGTGACTGGGTCCCAAAGGTTCTGTCTGAATGAATGGATCAATCCACTTGTAGATTAGTAAATTATCAAGGGAGTGGCTTTGTCATAATAGCAAGCTGTCTCTGGCATGCCTGCTCTGTCTCACCATGCAATGCCTTCTACCGTATTATGATGCTGAGCAGATGCTGACTCCATGCTCTTGGTCATCTCGGCCTTGAACCACGAGTTAAATAAACCTCTATTCTTTGTAAATTACCCAGTATGTGGAATTCAGTTATTGCATTAGAAAACAGACTAAGACGATGTATGTGAACAAATATGTATGTGCACTTTTTTTTGTTTTGTTTTTACCAATGATTCGACGATTAAAATAATCAGGCAACATTCGTTCACATACAGCAACCAAAAGCCAAAAAGCTTCTTCTTCCTTTGCATACAGAAGCAACACTGAAGTCAAAATGTTCATTGCCTAAAATTCATAGAAAAGATATGAGAAAGTAAATATTTTTCAGGTAATAATTGCATTTCTCCTTCAAACATAATAGTTTTCAATAGCAACAAGAATAAGGCTAATAATAATGGAAACATAAGAACTGAGACAATCCAAAGTAAAACTCCGTGAAGTCAGTATGCTAAGTAAAAGAAAACAGTATGCTAAGTAAAAGAAGGCAGACACAAAAGGCCACATATTCTATCATTCTATTTAGATAAAAAGTCCCTAATAGGCATATCCATAGCAACAGAAAATAGATTAGTGATTGCCTGGGTTGGGGATAGGATGAAATGGGTAATAACTGTTAATGAGTATGGGGCTTCTCTTGGGGTAATGAAAATGTTCGGAAATCAAACAGTGGTGATGGTTGCACAATTTTGTTAATATACTAAAAAAACACTAAAAGGTGAAGTTTGTGATATGTGGTAAATACAGATAAACAGATAAACAAGCCAGGTATCTGTTACGGCTCACATATGATTTTACTCTAAAGCAATAAAACATATTTACCATATTAACTCAAACTCTTTTCCCAGGTTTTAAAGATTCTCTATGATCTTGTCTCACACCAACTTATTTTTTAAATTAATTTTAGGTATACAATATAATGACATTCATCACTGGAAATCTGCACCTTTACATAATCTCTCTTGGTTCTTATTTTCCCCCATTCCCCTGCCCTCCCTTCAACCCCTCCACCCCTCCCTATTTACAAAGACTTTGTTTCCTTTTTTTCATTTTGTCATATTAATTCCATTCCCTTCTTTCCTTTCCCCTACCCCTCCTACTTCCCCTTCCCCTTTGCTCCTTTTCTTCATATTTCATGTTATCTATTATACCTTTCAGTCCTTATTTATACTTTCAGTTTCTCACACTAGAGAAACTATTTGGTATTTACTCATGTCACACCTACTTATTTAACTTTTGATTTTAACATGAGCTTAGCCAGCCTGATCTCCATGGCAGGCTTATTCTCACCTGAATGGTATTATTCATTTGTTACCTTAACCCAGAATAAATTTCTTCCTGCTCTCCATGTGTATAAATTTGTTCTCATGTTTTAGAAGTCAAAATCATGTGACGGCTACTTTGAAATTATCTTCAAACTAGTATCACAGGCTCTGTCAGTGTAAGAGGTTTTTTTCCTGGTTCTAGGATTCAACTGAGGGTCTCATGCATGCTAGGCAAGTGATCTGCCACTGAGCTATAACCCCAGCTGAGAGTAAAATTTTTGGGAAAATGTACTATGTGTCTTCCTTTAAGAGAGCCTAAAATCATTCAGATGTTCATTCACTTAAACTGTTTTCCCCCCAAATTCTCTAGGGCTGGGGATATAGCTCAGTGGTAGAATGCTTGCCTAGCATGCATGAAACCTGGGTTTGATCCCCAGCACCACAGGAAAAAAATCTCTATTGATAAAGTTTCAACTTAGGCAGTATTGATATGTAATCATTAATGGGTGCCTAACCTATTAGAAAAGAATGGATGGCAGAGAGTGCTACCTATCCACCATAATACAATTTCTCCTTCTTCCACAGTAGCTGGATACAAGTGTGCTCAGTTCATACTACATTTTGTAAACTTCCTCATGAAGAGGTATGCCCATGTGATGAAGACTTTCCAATAGAATGTGGGTGAAGTGATGTATGCCTCTTCCAGGTCTAGCCTGTAAAATCTCCAACAATTTTTTCTTTATTCTCTCTACCCCTTCCTGTGTTTAGTAATGGCAATGAAAAAGTACCTTGGAAGCCTTATTTTGAAGATGACAGAGTCTACTCTCAGCCCATAGCCTAAATCCCTGAAGAATCTCATAGAGAACTGTCTACTCACCAAAATAATCACTTTCTTTATTGTGTTTCAGTTATTATCTTTGTGTTTGTGTTAGCAGTCTAGCCTACTTAATCAACACAGGGTACTCCTAGAGGATTTTTTTCACCAATGATTCCTCCACTGCCAACAAAATAAAATCTAAACTCCCAACCTACCTCAATCTACCTTATTATTTTCTCCAACTACTTTGCATTATTCACCTTGCACTTTACTGTACAGAACATGGTCCTATACACATTTCCCATGTACTTCTATACGTGTTGGATTATACTGATTCTTTCACTTAGAATGTTTTTATTTTATCTCTGTATGTCCAAAAAAATCACCAATTTTCAGGACCTGCAAACGCTACTACCTCTTCCATGTAGCCTTCTATGATTCTTACAGATGAAAATAATCTTTTGATTAAAAATGCTGACAGCCGGGGATTTAGCTCAGTGGTGCCGCTGCCTGCCTTGCAAGTGCAAGGTCCCGAGTTCGATCCCCAGTACAAAAAAAAAAAAAAAAGCTAAGATTTTATTTTCATATAATAGCTCGCCTTGTTTTTCAGGTTTCCAATAATATGTATTTAATGCTTACTAATATTATATATTTTAATGCCAAGATCCCTATCTGATACATTTTATATAGCTTTAAACATGTGGCACAGTATCTTTTCCAGAGCAGGAATTCAATATATATATGTTAAATAAAAAAGAAAAATCATTGAAATTTTAATTCTATGTGTGCCTACTGCCATTCTACTTACATTAATAATAATAATTATCAACCTCACCCCAACCCCTGTCCTTATAATTTCAAAATTAGTAGAGCTAGATTTGATGTGCTTTTATTATTTGAAACATGCACATAGGCTCATAGCTAAGTCATACCTGGCAGTATCCAATTTTGGGATTCCTATATGCATAAGCAGTGAGTACCCGCCTCAGAGCAGATATGCCAGTGTCACTCTGAAATGCTGGGTGCTCAGGGAGGGAGCGACGCAAATCACGTTCAATTTCTTCAGTAGCCAAGTTGCAGGTCCCTAAGGACTTTTCAACCACTTCAGCATAATAGCCAGGATTAGTAGCCATGTCATTAACAGCACCTGTGGAGATGATTGTATTCACATACAAAGAGAGAAATATAACTATGATTTGCACATAGTAGCACATTTTCATATATATGAACAATTGGATTTCATTACCTTGAAATTTAGCTCTATTCTCAAGTAATATCTGAGCACAAGAAGAAAAGAAATTAAAGAAAAGAAACAGGTTTACACTCGGATCTATATAATGTCAAGCTAATATTATGTAACATCTGCCGGGCAAGCCCAAGGTCCTGAGTTCGATTCCCGGTACTGGGAAAAAAATTATGTAAGAGAACAACATTTTGACATTTTCCCCTTTAACTTTCCTTTGACACTAGAGAGATTTTTTTTCCCAATTAGACATAATTTGCCTAATAAAGTAATCGTATATAAGTAAGTACATATAACTACATGCCCTGTTCTCTTTGACTAGTCTAATTCATGGTGAGCAAGACTTTTTCCTAGCCATCTTTGTAATTCTTTAACTTTAGCTTAGTATATAATTCTTTTTTTTTTTTTTTTTTGGTACTGGGATTGAACTCGGGTCCTTGCGCTTGAGCAGCAGGCAGCGAAACCACTGAGCGAAATCCCCGGCCTTAGTACAATTCTTAGAAGAGGCATAATTAATGTCTGTTAAATGAATAAAGTGAATAAATGTAAAACAGACATTCCTCATTTAATGACCAAGTTACCTTCCTAGATCCTTAAATGAAAGGGTCATTAAATGAGGAACTGTACATAGTATGTACATTACAACATTCAGAAGAATAGTCAAAGAAAACTCCAACTTGTTGACTTTGCTTTTATTTGCATAACTGTTACATGCAGTTCTGTAATGTACAACAGAACATAATACTAAAGTACTGTACTGCTCAGTACAATCAGTAAAAATTATAGAACTGTATAAACAAGATGTACTATACAAAAAGAGACATGAGGACATCGAGGCTCTATAAACAAAATGTACAAAACTGTACTAAAAAGGGGAGACAGGTTGTAAGTCCAAAGAACAGCACGCTTTGGTCATTAAGTCCAGTCATTAAACAGGTAGGTTGTTAAATGAGGACTATCTGTACCTGAAAAAAGCATCCAGAGCTCTCCTCTTAAGGTCTCAGGAATCCCTCTTACAACCAGATGGCGAGTCTTTCTGGTTCGAAACATGGTAACACCACGCCCACACTCTGAAAATAGAATGTTCCATGACTGTTCCTTCATCTTTTCTTTCAACTGTAAGAGAAAAATCAAAACAACTAAACATAGTAAGAAATTAACATCTTTAAAACAGTTTGCCCACCTCGTTCACTATTAAACAACATCTATGGAAAACAAAAACCTAGAAAATAAAAATCAGTTTTAATGAAGAAATCAATACTGTACTTTTGTCTTCCTCAAAATCTTTTAAACTATGCAAGTCTAACAGCTTTAATTTACTATCTTAAATCTTAAACTCATATAAAAATGGTAAAAGTATTATACTTAATAGGCAAAGCTTTTAATATTATTCTTCCCAAATCAGCTCCATTTCTGCATAGATTATTAGAAATCTATACAAACTAAACTCAACATCAACATTCATCTTCTATCTTCATTCTTGATGACAGCCCTTGTGTGTTGTGGAAACAAACAAGGCACATGGTAGTACAGCACTTTCTGAAAAACCCTTTCAAACCTCAAGTGAAGTTTTTAGTTCTGGTACCTTTTACTCTGCAACAAGATTCTTTTTAAAATTAATTGTTCCAATGTATAGATATAAGTATTTTATTTTCCTACCATTTTAGAATTAAGAGTCTCCAAATTTTGAGGGTGAAATACCGTCATTAAGGCTTCTGTGTTCACAGCTTTACTGCATTCTTTTTGACATGTCAAAGATTGTACTTCAAAATTATCAGATGGACCTGTAGAGTCAGAAGTAATAGCAACCTGAAAAGAAAGTCAGAAGGTAACTGTCCCAAATGCATGCTTGAAAGTTTCTATAAGAAAAATGTTAATATTTTATCTGTCATTTATAAATGACAATCTATATACATATTAAACATTAAGGCAATGTCTCCAGAAGACATTATTTTCCTATCAAACTGACTTCTGGAACAGAACTTCAGTGAGCCTACTCCTCAGTGAAAGCAACAAAATACTGGAAAACCATTTAAATTATTTTAGAACACCAAAAATTAACCAAAGGCACAGAATGGACTGAAGAGTATTTATTCAAGAGAAACTAATGGAGGGGAAGGGGCTCAGTGGTAGAGCACTTCCTAGCATGTGTGAGTCCTTGGGTTTGATCCCTAGCATTGCATTTTAAAAAAGAGAAAAACTAATGAACCTGAGTAAGAACACCATTCTTTCAGGTTTTAACTTGAGGCTATTTCCATTCTCTCTCCCTCACGAACTCTAAAGTGTGGCAGCCTTGAAAGCCAGCAGTATGACAGCCAGAGGATCTTATGAAGCTTCATTAAAAACCTCATCCAACAGAACACAGACAATATTTTGAGCAAACTAGCAGCTTCCTGGATAACATCCACACCCAAGGTGTTATAATTTGATTATATTTACAGTTCAGTTCAATGAAAAAAGCCCCGTTCCTAGGGCATTATAGAAAACAATAGCAATCTGCTTGTAACATCACAGCTGCCTATGGTTGTGATTTCATTTGGGGCAAACAAAAGCCTGAATAAAAATTAAAAAGAAAGACATAGAGAACCAGATGACCATATGAAACTTTAAAAGTTTCCAAGATATTCTTGGGTATCTAGAAGTATGCACATATGTACAGGATTGTGAGCAGTCCAAGGAAAGAAATAGAACAGAAGACCCCAGTTACTCAATTCTGGCTATATCGGAAACCAGGAAATGAAAGCTAAGGCCGATTTGTAAAGTGCCTGAAATTTGAGTCATACTTTCACACAAAGATCTCCTTTGAAAAAAGGGAGAAGACTTACAGGTGCAAGGGACTTAAGAAAATCTGATCCATAATTGAATGATCACTAAATTATACTGACTTAGAAGGTGATCCCAGGAAGGCAGGCTTAAAAAAAACAGCAAGAAATTTATAAGAAAAAGCAACCAAGAAAAATATCCCTGAAGGGAAGTTGTTGGAGTTCATAAATAACAAACATAAAGCAGCTATTATAAATATATTCAAAGATATAAAAAAACTATGTTAAAATGATTAAAATAAATAGCATTGACAACATCAAGTTTCTTTGAGGATGTGGAGTAAAAACTCATACTCATTTCTGGTGGGAATGCAAAATGGTACAACCACTTTGGAAGATGGTTTGGCAGTTTCTTATAAGGTTAAACATAGTCTTACCACATGACCCAGTAATTTTGCTCCTAGGTATGTACCCAAATGAGTTGAAAACTTACAACTACACAAAACCCTGCACTTGACTATTTATAGAAGCTTTATTCATTAATTGTCCAAACTGGAAGCAACGAAGGTGTTCTTCACTGGGTGGATGGGTAAATAATGTGGTACATCCACAAATGGAATATTTTCAGCAATAAAAAGTGAGAAGCTGGGTGACATGATGCAGACCCATAATCCTACCTACTGGGTAGGATTCAGTGAGAGCCTATCTCAAAATAAAAAAGGCAGGGGATGTTGCTCTGGTAGAGTGCTTACCCAGTATATACCCTGGGTTCAATCCCCAGCACCAACCATATGAGCACTTGCACGTGCAGTGCAAATGTGCGCATACACATGAAAAAAAGAAAGAAATGAACTATCAAACCACACAGAGCAAAGATATAGATGAACCTTAAATGCATATTGATAAGTGAAAGAAGTATGAAAAGGCTAAATATGAATCAAATTATATAACCTTTCAGAAAAATAAAATTATAGAGATAGTAAGATCAGTTGCTTTCAGGGGTTTGGAGGAAGGATTAACAGGTAGAGCACAGGAGATATTTAAGGCAGGGATACTAGTCTATATGATACTTTAATGGAAGACATATGACAGTATAAATTTGGAAAAACCCATAGAAGTATACAGTAAAAGAATGAATCCTAATGTAAATTATGGGCTTTAGTCAACAGTAATGTACTGACACTGGTTCATCAATTGTTAAATGCAAGATGTTAATAATAGGAGAATCTGCAGACAGGGTAGAAGATAAGAGGATATGGGAACTCTGTATTTTCTGTTCAAGTATTTTATAAACCCAAAGTTGCTGTAAGAAATAGTCTTATAGTGGTGCATGCCTGAGAGGCCAGCAAGTTTGAGACCAGCCTGGGCAACATAGCGACTTAGTGAGACAGTCTCAAAACTTAAGGAAAAAAGAAAAGGAGAGAGAGAGAGACAGAGAGAGAGAGAGAGAGAGAAGAAGGAGGAGGAGGAGGAGGAGGAGGAAGAAGAGGAAGAAGAGGAGGAGGGGAGGAGAGAAGAAAAGAGAAGAGAAGAAAAAAAAGAAAGACCGACAGGTAGACAGCACCTGGCAAGCATGAGGCCCTGAGTTTGATTCCTGGTACCTAAAAAGAAAAAAGACAGACAGACAAGCAGGCAGGCAGGCAAGCAGGCAAGTAGGTGGCTTGGGGATGTAGCTCAGTATAAAGGCCCTGAGTTCAATCCCTAGTACCACACCAAAAATAAAAAATAAAATGGATTAATTAATAAATAATAATTACATCCTATCAAATAGAAAATATCAGTGAAAAGAAATTGCAAAAAACTATCAAGTACAAATTCTGGAGTTGAAAAGTATACTAACTAAAATGAAAGATTCACTTGTTTGAGCTGGCAAAAGGAAGAGTCAGCATTCTTGAAAGGCAGGCAGCGGCACCACTGAGGTAAATCCCTGGCACACAGGTAGAATTCTCATTTATTTATTTATTTATTTATTTATTTATTTATTTATTTATTTATACTAGGGATTGAACTCGGGATCTTGCGTTTGCAAGGCAGGTGGTGACACCACTGAGAGCTAAATCTCTGGCCCCAAGAGTCAGCATTCTTGAAGATTAGTCAGGAGAGATTATCAAGAGCTATGCTTTTTATAAAAATAATGAAGAAAAATAAATAGAACCTTAGCGCTTTGTGGGAAACCATTAAACATAATGACATATGGATAATATAAGCCCTAGAAGGAAGAAAGATAGAGAAGAAAAATTATTTGAAAAAAGATGGCTGAAAGCTCCTCAAATTTCATGAAATATTAATCAAGAAATCTCAACCAAAAAACTCAATGAACTCCAAGCAGAGTAAATTTAGAGATCAACACTTAGACACAACAAAATCAAGCTGACATAACTCAAAGACAGAGCATTTTGAAATCAGCAAAAGAAAAGCAACTTAGTAAAAAAGACTGTCAATAAGATCAACAATGAACTTCTCACCAGAAACTATGGAGGGCAGAAGACTGTAAGCTTACATATTCAAAATATTGAAAGAAAACAATCAACCAATGATTTCACATCCAGCAAAATTATATTTCAAAAATAAAAGCTAAACCATATGAAGTATGTTCAAAAGCATTATTTATTAAAGAAGTACAAATTGAAACCACAAAGAGATATTAAATCATACATGCATTAAAATGGCCAAACGAAAACAATATACAATAAAAATGTTAAGGTTGTAAAAATAAAATAGGAACTCTGTATATCACTGGAGGATATGTAGCCTAGTTTCTTAGAATGTTAAACATAATTTACCATGATTCAATAATCCACCCTTAGATATATATGGAAGAAAAATGATGGGCGTGGTGGTGCATGCCTGTAATCCTAGCACTTGGGAGGCCGAGGCAGGAGAATCACTACAAGTTCAAGGCCAGCCTGGGCTACATAGTGAGTTCAAGAACAGCCTGAACTATATAGCGAGACCCTGTCTCAAAAAAAACAAACAAACCGAAAAAATGAAAACATTTCCACACAAAGATTTTGCATACATGTCTCAACAACAGCATTATTCAAATTACAAGAAATTAGAAACAGTTTAACATCCATCAACTGATAAATGTATAAACAAAATATAGTCTACCCATACAAAAGAATACTACTCAGCAATATAAAGAGATGAACAATGATGCATTCTATGACCTCAAAACTATGATGCATTCGTGCAGCTCAAAAGCATTCTGATCAATGAAAACAAGTCACAAAAGATGACATAATATGCAATTCCATTTATATAAAACATTCATATGAATCAAATCTATAGATACAAAAGGCAGATTAGCTAATTTTTAGGAGTGTGGGATAGAAGGACACAGACTAACATTAAATGTTTATGAGCCACCTTTTGGGGGGGGTAAAATGTTCTAAAATTGATTTATGATGGTTGTACAATTAGATACATTTATTAAAAAATCACTGAATTGTATACTTCAAAAAGATAACCGTAAATAAAATGTAAAACATGCTCTAACATAGATATTTTAAAAATAAGAGATACCAAAAATATTTCCCATCTATACAAAGTAATCTCAGGCCAGGGATTTAGCTCAGTGGCACTGTGCCTGCCTCACAAGTGCAAGGTCCTGAGTTCAATCATCAGTACCAGAAAAAAAAAACAATCTTTAATTCATTTGACAACATTCAAACATCTAATGAGCATGCACTATGTTCTACATATTGCACTAGATGTATAAAAGATGAAAAAGATCTAATAGTTTAGTAGGGAAGAGAGAAGTAATAAAATGACTATAGTACACTGTCATAGTGCCATAATAGAGATATGTACAAATTACACTGGTAACAACTTTTACCTGATAGAGGTGGATGAATGCTGTCAGGTTTCACAAAAAATATGCTTGAAATGGATCTTTAAGGATGAGCAAGCATTTCTTAGGTAGAAAATGGAGAAAGAACATTCTAATAGAGGGAAGAACATGTATAAATAGATATGCACACAATGACAATATTGGAGGACCTAAAAATAGCTCAGAATGGCCAATGCATATAGTACAGTATATGT